GATAGACCAAGAAGACGATGGAGAGATCATGTGCAGAGAGACCTGCAAACGCTTGATATCACCAACCGGAAAGAGAAGGCCAACCAGAGAGATGAGTGGAAGAGGGTGATATCTCCAGCAGTGAACCTCAAGGACAAGAAAAAGACGACGACGACGACAAAGAGGAAGAAGAAGAAGAAGAAGAAGAAGAAGAAGAAGAAGAAGAAGAAGTTCTAAAGCGAAAAACTAAAGGGTCTTTATAACTGCAAAGGCGCATATGCCATTGCTATACCAATATGTTTATACAGAAATTGACACTCACAGGGTGATATCGTGACACTATTTTTGCCTTTAATTCACATTTATTTTCTGATACTCACTTTAGTCCTTGGAGCTGAATCAACCCTCCAGACATAATCGATTATAACAAATTCACCTTCGCGTGGAATCGAACCCAAGTGAGTGAGTAAAACTGCACCCTGCTAGAACCGCTACTAAACGATTAACACTGTCACGGAAAGTACTATGTGTCATTACTCAGATGAGAATCAATGAAGACCAATTTCATGAACCCGCTCAGCAGTAAACCTATATATTAGGATCGCCCGGCTCTCTAGCGGAATTGGCTAAACCGGATTTCGCGGAGACCGGGCGACGTACTCCTTGTGGTCCGGGTTCAATCCCGGGGGTAGGCAGGAAAGCCACATTTTCTCCCAGATTGACGGTATTTACAATGGAATCAAGGCCGAAAGGTTGCGATATCCATAATACCGAGGGTTAACAACTCATGGCTTCTGGATACTAAAACAAACAAACAATATATTAGGATCCCAACGGTGGCAAAGCAACCCGAAGTCCAGCGAGGCTGTAATATATATTTAAAAAATATGTGCCCTATCAAGATAAATGTTGAATAGTCGAGCCCAACAGTGAAGGAGTAACATTCAACCCCACCAGGACCGCAAAAAGAGAGATTAACACTCGGTGTCTCAAAGTGGCACCATTCGGATGAAAAACCCTGCTTAATGTTATTTATATTCCCCCCCCCCCCCCCATCCTTTTTTTGCGACGACAGCGGGGGTGAGTTTTCAAAATAACAAAAAATGACACCCGTATTGGGTTAGTAAGTACGTAAATTTTACCCCACCGGGACATCACACATGTGGATGAGGATCACCAGTGGAGAGGTCTCAGAAACCGAATTCATCCGTTAGGTTATATTGCAGCCGCCAGCAAAAGCCGGGTGGGGCTTCAAATGCGTCCCATATGGTGACGACGTTGTTATAAAATTAATATTGGGTAGGTAGGTAGGTAGGTAGGTAGGTGGGAAACTACCACATTATTATCCCAAGAAACTTATCATGGAAGCCAAAAATGAAACTCACAGATCTGATGGTGAGGCCCCCAGGCCAGGCAGATCACAAACGCGAACTGGGGAAGAGAACGATGACAGAGCAAGTAAGGGTAGTTGTGATGACGGCCAGCCACAGATATAGCCTAACGGCTGAAAGGGGTTTCTGGGACCTCTCCAAGGGTACAACTGCCTACCTACCTACCTCATCATCATCATGTAGCAGGTCCTTTGCAGAACGTCGCTCTCATCACGGTCTGCCTGAAAGAAACTCGGTCTCTCGCCAGCTCTCCCGCCTCACGTACTTTCACATTCAAGGAATCACTTATATCCTGTACCCATCATTTTGTAGGTGGGCCACTGTCCCTCATTAAGGCAGTCTACCATGCCTTCTGCTATTATCCCCCCCCCCCAATCCGCCATGGCGCTTGATATGACCAAAATATTTCAGCTTCCAATACAAGAAGCTGTTTATTAGCTAATATTCTTTGATGTTCAGATCTTTTAAAATGTCAGTAATTCTTTTCTACTTTGTCCATGTTATTCTGAGAATCTTTTTATAGCATTTCAGTTCAAAAATACATATTTTCTTTCTCAAGGACTGAAAGAGAGTCAATGACTCACATCCGTATGTAGCTACAGGGAAGATGCATGCTCTCAAAATTATAATTTTGATCTCCTTGCTGGTGCTTAACCGTATAATTTTAACGCTGATTAAACTTTGCACTGCTATGACTATCCTCCTCCTTTTGGTTTCTGTCAAACAGTCTCTATTGCTATCTACTATAGAGCCTAGATATTCAAAGTTTGTGATATTTTCAATTTTTTTCATCATTGTTGTTTTTGAGTGACAGGCAGTTTTTGTCTGTCGAATTATTTTCGTTTTATTTAAATTCGAGAATATATTCAAGGATTAATAAAGGAGCCCCAAATAAGCACACGTTTAGGAACCTCGGCATATCCCTGACGCTATGTGCAACATGTGTTACCGGGTAAAAATAGACGTCGATAACAACACCTTCTACAGCTAAATACCGAAACGTGTGGACATTTTTATAGTATTTGTGAGTAAGAGAATATGCACGTGCATAATGTATATGTATGTATTTGTCATCATCATCATCATGTGTCTGACAGGAATCAGTTTTATTTTTGTGCCAGGGATTAGCTTGCTGGAAGGGCCATGGTAGCTATATGACACGTAACGGACAGGGCCGACGATCTCAGTAAACTCAAGGAGGAGTAAATGATTCAGGAGACGAACAGTAAGTCGGCAACATTAAAAAAGAACTGAGAGGTGTCGTTAGTCATAAATATTATGCAGGTAGCCAAAGAAGAATAGTAAACCAACACACAAATGGAGTTATCAGTCGCCACACGCTGGTGGATATAGTGAAGATGAGGATCCGAGCTTGAATAGACTTGTTCGATGTACATTGGGGAAAACTGGTCAACTAAATTTAACTAATTTATTTAGATTAAAAAATTAAAATAAAAGCGAACTTCGGTAGCGTAGTGGCTAGAAGCTCGCCTGTCGGCACAAAGATCTGGTTTTCAAATCCACATCGAGGCAGATTTTTGTCTTCAAAACTGACCTTGGCTTCAAGGTCAACTCAGTATAAAATGCCAACCGAGAATCAGATAATTTCTTAGAACGTAAAGGCGACTGGCGTAATGTTGAATGACATCACCCACCGAGTGCCGACTGCTCATTGCAAAATATACGTTTACTAGCCATGACTGCCCAGTGCGTCAAGGGCACGAAAAGGTTTTTTTTTTGCATTCTTTATTATTATAAGAGGGAAAAGTTTCCAGGAATATCGTTCTAGTCAACAAATGCCCAAATGATCGGCCAATAGCTGACATTAAGTTTTATTTAAACAGATATAAATCGCCCCCGTCCTCGCCCACCTCACCTTTTCCCTCCAATGTGGATTTGTGCCAAAAGACCGAGAACCAATTTTCGTCCTTGTTTGTTGGATCAATACAGAGAAGATTAGAATTATTAGGCAACCAGTAAAAACCTGGCATGAATATTCCTGAAGCTGTTACACATGTGTTTGGAGATTTTCAAACCTCTCAAGTCATACAGTAGCAATAGTGCAAATGTCGAAATGATTTCTTATAATAATAATAATAATAATAATAATAATAATAAAGTAGTAGTAGTAGTAGTAGTAGTAGTAGTAGTAGTAGTAGTAGTAGTAGTAGTAGTAGTAGTAGTAGTAGTAGTAGTAGTAGTAGTAGTAGTAGTAGTCTTTTCCTCCTGTTAAGCTTTCACGGGTTGCAAACTCGATACAGAGGTGCTGTAATACATATGGTGATGCGACAGGACGACCCTCATACTCGTCGTGATCTATCTACCGCTTTACGCGGCGTTCACTATCAGTGGTTTGGCCACCGTATATAGAAAAGACGTTGATTCTCGGATGTCGAACTACAACTGCCCGCATACGACTGCAGATTACACCCGGCTGGTGTGGCCGTTACAAGTACCCTAATAATAATTACTTTAGAGATTGAACAGGGTTTCTGAAATGTGCCTTGTTGGTCCGCAGTCCATATTGAGTTTTAAAATCCCAAGATGGTATATAAACCTTTGGGTAGCACTCCAGAGGGTAATACGAAGTGTCTTCCCGTCCCTTTTAGGATATAATTTTTCGTTATTTGAAGCCTTACTCTGGCTTTTGCCAGAGGCCGCAATAAAACCTGGCCATAAATATGGCCTAAAGGCTGAACACGGTTTCTGGGACCTCTCCACGGTGATCCTCACCCACATGGTGGCACATTGTGTCATCGGGTGTTTATCGCTTGTGTGATGTTCTAGTGGGGTAGAAAGTCAGTCAGTCAGTTCAGAGGGTAGATAACCTGATCGATATATCGATAACAACTAACTAAGAGGCTAGGAACCAACAGTGTCCGAAAAAAAAAAAAAAAAAAACCAGACCTATAAAACGGTTGTGCACGCAACACATAAGTCCTGGGACGAGACCCGCGCCCAGAAGTAGACTAATAAACAGGACTTTATAGTTGTGTCCTGTGAATGTGCAAAGATTGTTGAGGTCTAGGGGGTGCCTAGTTGACCATGTATCTTAGTGCATTTGTATTCATGGCGAGGCGCTGATATCCAGTTTCGTCCTTTTTAGGATGAAATTTTTTGTTGTTTGAAGCCCCACCCTGGCTTTTGCCAGGGGCCGCAATATAGGCAGGCCATAAATATGGCCAAATGTCTGAACGCGGTTTCTGGGACCTCTCCACGGCGATCCTCATCCACATGGTGGCACTTTGTGTCATCGGGTGTTTATCGCTTGTGTGATGTCCTGGTGGGGTAGAAAGTCAGTCAGTCAGTCATGGCGAGGCGCAGACGCTGTCTGGAAGTAACAGGTTCAATTCCCGGCACGGTAACTATAGCTTTCGATTTTTATGTTGTCTAGTGTGTTCATCTATCTTTCTACTTCTTTCTATGAGTGCCGTTCACAATACTTTCTGTTATTTGATTAATTCATAAAGATTGTTTAGAAAAGATGAATTACTTCCCTTATAAAGGGGCAACCACTCTGATATTTTAGCGCAGACAGGGAAAACAAATCATGAAGCGCTTATGTTGTGGTTTGCACAAGTCAAAACAGTTGAAAAGATACTTACAAACGAAAATTAGTGCTATTTGTAAATGAAAGAATATTTCTCAAAATGTTTAACACTGTATAAACACATTTCTTTATTAGGCAGACGCCACTGGGGTATGCAAGTTTTGAAAAACTTGAAAAAGCGACATGATTTTGTCTGTAGTAAAAGTATTTCGAAGATTGGACCTTCCACGAGCAAAAGTGAAGGACAAAGTTACACTGATACACAACTGTTCTCGTTTCTACAGTTTGTAAAACTTGATAAACTGTCTGCAGCTGAATTGTTTATACATACAAGACACTTAGAAGCATTAGAGGTAACTGCGATATTAGTAACAGTAACACCATCTGTTTTTCACTTCATACATGTTCTTACGCAGGACGATTTGATTAATTTGAAACAATAATTCAAGGAACAGTGACTTGTTATTTTCCTGTCCAGTCCATGGTCCTTTGTTATGACCAAAGCACTCCAGTTTCCAAGATGTTTCTGCTAATGTCTGCTTACAGTACACTGAAAAACCCATTACACCATTGTCGTTATAATTATAACCCAGTTGTAATTATAACAAATACATAGGTGTTCTGTTCTGGTGCATTTTGCCATACATCTTTTGCTCCTGGCTTCATTGGGGATAGAGAACATAAAGAGAAAATTTAAGAAATGGCCCATGAGTCACATCATTTGAGGTGCGGGGCGGGGGTCACACAAAATGTGCATGTTTTTAATATTTTGCATCAATTAGTCTGTAGGGTTTTTTTGTACCACCTTCAGGCGATTGAGCATATAATGCTAGACAGACATAGGCCTATATTTTATAGGCCAATTGACGCTTAGCGGGAATGTCGTCAACATCACACTGCTGCTTTTACTTCCCAGAACTTTACCTGGTATCCATTTAAGGCTGGGTTGACCTGGGAGACAAGGTTATTTTTGAAAAAGAAAAAAAAATCCAGTTCCATTAGGATTTAAACGACCTTCAGATCCGCAGGCAAATAACTGCCATTGTGTTAAGTATATGTGTGTAAAATTATATGGACAAAATTGAAATAAAGAAAGTATAAATGTCACCAAAAAATGGATATAAGGACACTTATAGAAGGTAAAATTACAGTTATACAGGTAGCAAACAATTATAAATCAGAAAAGAGAATTACGGATCATAATGAAAGATCAACAAATAAATTACTGCTGTGAATGTGGCAAGAGATATTTTATAGGTTTAATCATTGAACCTCAACTTTGTGACCAGACAGTTGTAAACAAGTCTGTTTTCACCATAATTTGAAATGCAGACAGTTGCTTTGTGACATAGATTCCTGATGCAGACAATTGTAGATGTCTGATGCAGACAGTTGTTATTTGAAGTTGCAGTTGTGTTGGACAGACACAGGTGTCATCTGTGTCTTGCGTTTTTATATTTAGTGCCTACATTGATTGCTTATTAAACTTATTTGGTAGCAAGTGACTCAGTATGTGAATACTGTACATTTTTCCTAACTCCTCATGCCACATCTAGTTACTGCACTTACTCCCACAATGCTCCGTTTGTTGCTTCAAACCCTTCTCTATCAAAGTACTATCAGTGATTTTAGTAATTTGCACCCAAATATTTATTTTAAAAAAAAAGTTTAGTTGCATATCCTTTACAGGATGTTGGTTGCAGAACCAGCCCCAGCATTTGTTGGCTGTTGTAATTTTTCTAGGCACATGTTAGGTTCTGTAGTTTGTCATTGCTTTCTGAATTATCAACTCTTGGTACCACTGTCGAAACCAACACCATCCACAGATGGAATCAAACCTGGCACCCAGCATTACGATGGATGTTGGCAACGCCTAAGCCAAAGAGGCCACACTTGAAGTTAAAACTCTAAATGAGAATAGCCTAAATTACATCTGCTTTGTACTGAAGTAGCACTGAAAGAGTTCTTTGACAGTTTATTTGAGTGATAGTTTGTATATTATGGCAAAGTAATAGTTTTAGTTTTGTAGGTTTGTCATTGGTGCAAAAGTTTTCTGTAGGTTTCTGCATGTTGATGTAGGTTTGTGCAGGTTGATGTAGGTTTGTGCAGGTTGATGTAGGTTTGTGCAGGTTGATGTAGGTTTGTGCATGTTGATGTAGGTTTGTGCAGGTTGAACTAAGTGTATCTAATGTTATAGACATGTTCTACAGTTTTTATATGCAAAGTATGTTTATATAATGAAGAGTAGGATTTAACTAGTAAAAAACTTCAAAGAAATTTTTCCCAGCTGAATATTTGAACAAAGAAAACAACATTTAGACTTACTGTATGCATATAATGAGATACAACAAATATGCATTAAATTTACAATGAAAAGACATCAAACCAAATGAAAAGTAGAAATAGTCATTATCACAATCCCAAATGACAACTGAATAATGAGCCAGAAAGCCTTCATCAGCACATAACGTGAATAGACTGTGTTACAAACAAAAAGTATAATTAGTAATTTTCATATCACAATTACAAACAACAAGTGAATGTTATTTGTATCTATAACGATAAATTATAGTCTATTTTTTGTGTCTTCTTTTTCTTATAAAGAACCACTTATCTGATAAAGAAAAATAGGTTTATTATATGTGAAAATAATTTAACATTAGTTTTTCTTGCAAGTCAGCATCTATGGCTTAAGTGTTGCGAACGCGCTCATAATGCTGAGGTGCCAAGTTTGATCTCGGCTGTAGGCGATTTCGCAGCAGATCATCTTGCATTGGTTTAGACAGTGGTATCGAGATCTGACCATTGAGAGTGCAATGGCAAACTACTAAAAGTAAAATTTGCCTAGAGAAACCACAACAGCCAAAAAATGCTGGGGTTGGTTCTGCAATGTCCTCTAAAGGACATAGTAAGTAAAAAGTAAAGATCCCTTTTCATGCCTTTAGGCTTATCGGGCATATGGGAAGAGCACCCCATATTTTTACAGACCAATCAGCACTGGGTGGGTAATGTGGTCAGCATTCCGCCGGCCATCTTTACCTCCCCAGGACATACATCCTCATATCCATTTCAGGCTGGGAGGACCTGCGACACCCCATATCACGATTAAAAATCCTCGCAGCCAGCAGTGGGTTTCGATTGAGGTACGTTGGAATTACAAGTCGGAATCGCAACGCCTAAGCCACGGACACCGCTCTAAAGGATATGCAATTAACTTTGTCTCTATGCATGACTCAGAAAGTGTGTGTAGGACTTTTGATCTTTTGCAGAGAGGAGATGACACATACAAGGATCCAGCTACAGGGAATGTTGTGTTTACAAGACTTGCACACTTGAGGAGAGGCCAGTGCTGTGGGAGTGCCTGTAGACATGTATGTTTTCTTTTGTATTCAAGTTTCAATATTTTATAAATAAAATTATTTATCCATTCTCATCTATTTATTATAAATATTTTGTGTTGTATGTTAGGAATAAACTACTGCCTGTGTGGGTTCCGGTGGCCCCACTGTGAGGAAAACAAGAATCGACCCACTGCTTAACCCAAAGCATGTCGTACGATTAATTGGGAGCTTCCTTCAGAGTCAGAGTATGTATGTCTGAGAGGCAAAGAACCAACATTCTGCATGCAAATGAGTCAGACCTGTGAAATATGATGTGCATGTAACACACAGGTTATGGAAAGGGACTAGAGTCCAGAAGTGGATAAAAACCAGAACCTTCTGCCAGAGTATACAGCGAATAAATGCAAAGAAGAAGAAGAAGATGAAGATACTGCAAGGAGTTGGCTTAATTACTTCAGCCACACGAAGAGACACAACCATCTTGTTAAAGGATGAAGAGTAGGGCTGTTCAGCTAAGTTTCTTTGAGATCAAAATGTTAAAAATGGGATCGTCTCAGGTCAGAGGGCCTAGTCCCAGCATAGAAAGGTCACTAATACTATACAGTTGACAGTGATCCGGGGCTACTTGCTAGGCCTCTGCAGGTCGGGTTCGGTCCATGGGCTACCCATCAAATAGCCCTAATGTAGAAAGAAAAGTACAGGGAGGTCTGAGAAAGTAAGATGACACTGCATAAAGGTGGACAACATCAAGCGATGGACAGGGAAAAAAAATGTTTATAAATAAACTGTGAAGACATCATCCTGTGTGCTGTTATATATCACATAAGGTTTTCAGTCTAATCCTCTATTCCATTCTATCTTGTGCATTTTTATTTTCAGTATCATAAATGTAATCCAATCCAGCCTTTCTCGTCAGCATTCATTTTAGTTCGTCTTCTTAGTCTCAAAGTCCATGCCGTGTGGCATTGGTAGTGATGTCTGACCTCAATCTTCTGTCTTGTGTACTTTGAGTCAACTCTTACACAGATGATCCTCCATGCCATTGATGTGGAACTGTCACCCTCTGCCTCTCCTCCCTTCCAACTTTCCTACTGTCATAATGGACTCTAGTTTTCTCCATCTCATCACATGACCAACAAACGTAGATTGTCTCTTTCTGATGTGGGCAATCAGTTCTCTTCCTGAGTCAATTTCTTCCAAAATGTCTTCATTACTCTTTTTATTTGTTCAGGGTATTCTCATCATTTGTGTATAAAACCACATCTCCACAGCTTCCTAATAATTTTTCACTAATCTACCAAGAGTCCATGATTCACTTCCATATATCAATGTAGGAGTTATATCTAGTTTATATTTGTTTTTCTTATATGTCCTCATTTCTCAGTCCATTTGTTTCTCATTTCAGTGCTTCTTTGGTGACTGATGACTTTTCATTAGGATGTGCCAAATGTAGAGCCATCTTCTTTGTCTCATAACCGTATATTTAAATAAGCAAAAATTGTTGGAAAAAATAAGTAGTAAATAGAAGTAGATAGTAATTTTGACTACAGACATAGATTACAAAGTTAAATCTGGCAGAGTAACTTTAGATATGTCACTTGGTATTAGAAAGGAGGCAAGATGAGGCAGGAGTTGGTTAGGGGTTTAGACCAGAGTTTCCCATCCGATGGTATGCAGACAAATTTAAGGGGTCTGTTATGTTATTTACAGAACCTCTCAGTGTGGGTTCCACAACCTCACTGTGGGAAAGAATAGAATAGACCCACAAGCATGTCGTGAGTGTTAGCTAATTAGGAATATTTCCAGATCTGGCTGAGAGAGAGAACACAAATTTAAGTTAGCTGCCAATCATTTACAGGGCATTGCAACCGCATCCCAGCAATTGTTTGGCTGTTTATGGTTTTACTGGACGGATTGACATTTTATTAGGTATTAGCCCGCATCTGTCTTAGGTGTTGCGAGCACACTTCGTAATGCCGGGGTGCCAGGTTCGATCTCAACTGTGGACTGTTGGTCTTGCATTGTTTTCGACAGTTTGTACTGGGAGCTGACCATTCAGGAAGCAGTGGCAAACTACTGAACATAAAATATGCCTAGAAAAACTACAACAGCCAAAAAACATGCTGGGGCTAGTTCTGCAATGTTTTGTAAAGAATGCACAACTACTGAAGGTTGAAATTGTTACTTGTATTTGAGTTGATTTTTACTATACTTTAAAAAAAAAGCATATATATATATATATATATATATATATATATATATATATATATATATATATATATATATATATATATATACATATATATATATATATAATAGATGCACTCCTGCTGATATGAATATAACTTTGTCATAACTTTAGCATTAAACATTTTTTTAATTAAATGAGTGAAATAGTTAAAATTACACACAAGAATGCCATAAGGTTCTACCAGTCAGTTGACAGTTCTTTTGCATCTGGGGCATCAATAATTTTTAGGCACATAGGTATTCCCATCAGCTAATACAAACATGCCATTGAAGAGAGAGAGAGATGAGAGGAAGACGAAGAAAGAGATGGATAAATGGTGCAGATGAAACCTGCAAAAACTTGAACAAATCCATCACAGAAACGCAAGACAAATACAGAAATCCACGACACTGGACTACAACCTGGTAACAGTGAGGTGACAAAAGAAGAACATTGGATAATGTGGGTTTTTATTTTTCAACAGTATAAGTAGATGGAAGTTGATCTCATGGGATCTGATCTGTTTGTAACTATTGTTTCTTTGAAAGAGTTACTAAATATGTCTTGTTAAGCCATACTATTTTTCTTTCTCTGTAATTACAGTGCCCATATGGACATAAAGGAGTCCTACCAGACAGACCCAAGAAAACATACAATTCTGCTTTCTATGTATAATACATTGAACCGAATCCACCATATATGATTCATAATACCATATAACATATACAGTGAAAGTTTGTAGTTAAAATGTGTGAATGCAAATAATAAATAATGTTGGAACTTTTCTAAGCACATAGAAATACTGGAGCATTTTGTTCTGTTTGTCTGCAACAATGAATGAAATATTGGCACAGTTTGTTCCTTTTTGTCTACAGCAGTAAATATTTTCCTAAATATAAAACACAAACAAGAAAATGATTTTAGCAATATACAATTTAATATCTTTCATTGACTTCAGAACATAAATATAAATCTAAACATAGCTAGTTAGTATAGCGTGCATAATATTTACAATTAACTCTTCGTATACAGCATTCTGAGAAATGTCTGCCTGAGAAGGAACAGCTGGCCTAGTTTCTAGAACACCGGCTCTTTTGTGGGAGACCAGGATTCAGATCCTCGGATGATTGAAGTCATTTTTCTAACCAGGCAGAAAAAAACCATAGTCAATTTGCAATATCCATTTGGCCCTAAATCCTCATGCTCACCCCTGCTGTTCCCCCCCCCCCCCCCCTTCCATTTCTGGGTGTTACAAATAGATCCTTGCAGTCTGAAGAAAATAGTGCAACAATGAGTGACTACTGGAGCTGGCTAGCACTCAACATTCATGAAAGAGGCAAGATGGACGGACAATCAGACTGCTACTGGTACTATGAGAAGTGGAACTTTCTGCTGGCTGCTGATGATGGGGATTGAGTGTTTGAGAGAATGTCCTGAGTGCTGTGATGTCAGTTCTGAAGTCAGCTCAGTTCAACAAAAACAGGATTTACCACAATGTCTTCACTATTATTAAGCCTGCCAGGGCACTATGAAACTGCGAGAGAGACACATCTGTTCTCTGATAAGTTAGTTACTTAATCGACCAGTTATCCTCATTACACATTGGACCAGTCCATAAGCGTTCAGATCCTATTTTCAGCATATCCCTCATTGTGTGCTGACTGATAACACCAGTTCTGTGTTGGTTTACTATTCTTCTTTGGCTACCTGTGTAGGGTTCATGCCTGGCAATAACTCTTGTGACCTGAAATATTATGTGTTAAAAATGCAGGCAGTTGGTACCCAGGTCTTCCACACGCCATGTCAAGGCTCACACAACATGTCAAGGCTCACACACCATGTCAAGGTTCACAAGCATATTCATATGTGTCTTACCCCCGTGTTTGTTCCGGGGCCCTACTGTGGGGAAAACAAGAATAGACCCACTGCTTCCCCAAAAGCATGTCGTAAGAGTCGACTAACTGGGGAGCTTCCTTTGAAGTCGGAGTGCATCTACCTGAGAGGCAAGGAACCAACAGTCTGCATTCAAGTGAATCAGATCTGTAAAACTGATGCACAGGCAACACTCAGGTTCTGGAGCAGGACTGCAGTTCCAAAGTGGACAAACAAGCAGAACTTTCCGCCAGAGTGTACAGCTGGTGAATGCAAAGAAGAAGAAGATATGTGTCTTACCCTCCCAAGATTTTGAAAAGTCTTTGCCAGTTACTAGTTCTGTAAGTTATCTCTGGTGCACACACCGGAACAATGAACAGGCAGCTAAAAAATTGAACTGAGTATCTGAAGATGAGGATATTCATAAAGAGTGTTGTATTTTATGAAAAGAAAAAAAAAAAAACTAAAGTGCAGAGGTTCTCAGTAGACTGAATGACAAGGGAGTTGCTGAAAGATATCTAGAAGTAACATTTGAAATAATTTGACCACAGTAAAAGAAATACCACTCTTTAAAAACTAAACTTGATGGACAAGTTGAAGGCAGGAGAGTGAGAGGTAGACAATGATACAAGTGGGAGGACAAAATCAAGAGATGGATGAAAAGCATTCTCAGTCATGATGCTCCCTCCTTCACAGTTTTCTTATTCTCCTTCATATTCACTGACTATAAACCCCTTGACATTTACTGACTGTAGACTCCTTGACATTCACTGACTATAAACCCCTTGACATTCACTGACTATAAACCCCTTGACATTCACTGACTATAAACCCCTTCACATTGACTGACTGTAAACCCCTTGACATTCACTGACTATAAACCCCTTCACATTGACTGACTGTAAACCCCTTGACATTCACTGACTATAAACCCCTTCACATTGACTGACTGTAAACCCCTTCACATTCACTGACTGTAAACCCCTTGACATTCGCTTACTGTAAACCCTTTCACATTCGCTGACTGTAAACCCCTTCACATTCACTGACTGTAAACTCGGGCAGACAGTTCTGGTTATCAGCCCACTTATGAATTTTAGAACTGTTCCAGATCTTAAGTTTTGTGTGCCTATCTTTTTTTTTACAGGTCTGGCTTATTTTTATGCAGACATATGGCTGGCCCCTCATCTCTCTAAACAGTCAACTCTTATGACATTCATGTTAAAGAGGCAGTCTTTCCATTCCAAAGAAGTTATTGCTACTTATTTTATGAGCCTTGTTGGAACATAAAGCCATATGTTGAGTTAGTTGTGTATTCTTTACAGGATATTCAAGAACCAACCCTAGCGTTTGATGGCTGTTTTGGTTTTACTTGTGAGTTTTTACATTCAGTAATTCAGTAGTAATGTTTGAGAAAAGCCATGAAGAAAAACTAAAAGAGATCTTGTGAGAAACATAGAAATTACAAGAACTATCGGAACAGCACACACATTCATTGAAAATCAAAGAGTGAAATGGTTTGGCCAGTTGAAAAAGAATGAATTATGTGTTGCCAGCAACAAGAGAGTACAACATGAAAGTAGAAAAGTAGTAACATCAGAAAGACGGGACGATCAGAAGAAGATGGATTGAAACAAAAAAGCACTGATATCTTGAGACTCCACAACCTCACAGCATACAGGAGAAGCAAGCGTTTCCTAGCTCGGATACCGATCATCTATTAACCTGTGATGAAATGCCTAATGGCACAAAGTAGAATGTGGACAAAAGAAAAGGTTTTCCATTGTTTCTGCACCGTCTGCTCTTAACTCTTTGAGTCCCAAGGAACACATCATAGGTTCATAGTTTACTGCCTAGAAGCACAATGAACGCATGATGCGCCGATTTTAGTCTCTTTTGACTACCCCTTGGGCCTGTGATGCTAAACCCTCTGGGACTCAAAAAGTTAAAACACCTGTCAAAATCAAGGAAAGAAGGGGTAAAATACTCTTTCACTTGAAAACTGAACCAAGAACACTTTTCTAGAACGTAATGATGTACCCAGATTTTTAAGCAGTGGCATACTGCATAATTAAGTGAGTACTTTTGAGAAGGGGTCAGATGTGACTTTTCTGACAGGAGGACAATGACTCAGAGTTCCACAGAGTTGCATTGCCAAAACAAAAACAACAATTGGTTGTTTGCAACAAATATAATGCATAATAACATTTGAAATATGAACCAACAAAGTCTGTCCCCTGGCATCCTGCTGAAAAAATCACTCTGAAGTTTTTGCAGAGATATCTTCTGTTTTTCATCTTCAGCCTTTACCCTTACACAAGTAGTTGGCATGCTATGTTGTGGTTTACAGCTAAGCTGCGATATCTGCATCTTTCAGCCCAACAAACCCAATTTCAACAAACTCCTAATTGATTGCCTTTTATGAAATGCCTTTAATGGGAACATTGGGTCTAATTGTTCTAACCTGAAAGACCTAACAGTCTTTCTTCTGCTGTGATGAAGTTGTGGAATATATTGTTTTCCTCTTCTGTCTTGATTTGTTTAGATGCCTAAGAGCCTTTCATTTTCTTCTCTAAACTGTATAAATACCTGATAGTCTTACATCTTATTCCCTCAGAAATCAACTAACTTCATTAGCTTCTGAATTTCTGAACTTTTCTACAGCAAAGGTTGTGAAATACCTCACAGTGTTTCCTCTTATACCCTAAAGTTTTGAAATACTTTGTAGTTTTACTTCATCTACATTGTTGAAGCATAATATACCTTACAGTTTTAGTTTTTCTACCCTAAATTTTTTAAATACTATGAAATTTTACGTCTTCTACGTTGTCGAAGCATAATATACCTTACAGTTTTAGTTTTTCTACCCTAAATTTTTAAAATACTATGAAATTTTACGTCTTCTACGTTGTCGAAGCATAATATACCTTACAGTTTTAGTTTTTCTACCCTAAATTTTTAAAATACTATGAAATTTTACGTCTTCTACGTTGTTGAAGCATAATATACCTTACAGTTTTAGTTTTTCTACCCTAAATTTTTAAAATACTATGAAATTTTACGTCTTCTACGTTGTCGAAGCATAATATACCTTACAGTTTTAGTTTTTCTACCCTTAATTTTTAAAATACTATGAAATTTTACGTCTTCTACGTTGTCGAAGCATAATATACCTTACAGTTTTAGTTTTTCTACCCTAAATTTTTAAAATACTATGTAGTTTTACATCTTCTACGTTGTTGAAGCATAATATACCTTACAGTTTTAGTTTTTCTACTCTAAATTTTTAAAATACTTTGTAGTTTTACGTCTTTTACGTTGTTAAAGTATAGAAATACCTTAAAGTTGTAGCATTTTTACCCTAAAGTTTAGAAATACCTTAAAGTCTTTCCTCATCTTCTCTTAAGTGTTAAAATACCTCACAGTGTTTTCTGTACTAACGTGATGTGTACAAAACCTCGAAATGTTCTATCTCGACGGAATGATATAATGATAGACATAGTAGTCTTTCTCTTCCTTAGTAAAGTACTGAGGTATTTTACCATCCTTCCATAAAGTAACATTAGCCGCATTTTATCATATTGTGACTTCAGGGGTCCGCGGAACAAATTTAAGGGCAGGGTGATATCATACACTAACAAAAACTCAGCTTTAAAATGCAATCATCTTTTCTATTCTAATAATTGTAAATTATAAAAAGTTTTTTAAAAGCACTACTAAAAAGCATAGAATCTATGACATACGTTAAAAAAAAAGGGGGAGGGGAGGGGGGTCAAAAGTAACTGGAAACCTTTGTTGTAGAA